AATTACGCGCTTTACGTTTCGAAGAGCGTTTTTCTGTGCGTTAGAAATATACGAAACCTAGTTGTTGCCCAAAAGAAGCTACACTGAAAAGATAATTCTACGTGGAAAATGTGGAATAACATTTTTTCGTAGGGCGCTTCGTTTTCGAGATAATCGAATTTGAAACTCTAACTCTCGGTTTAATATTGATGAAAAAGAATACCTGGATTGTAATCTCGTAAGTGAAGAGAAAATCCGATGACACGATATGATGTGGTTACTATTGGCGATTTAATTGACTTTTCGTATCACTCCTTGCAAGATTTTACCATGGTCTTTGTAATTTGAATTTCTTCACATCCACGATTTTTCAAACGAAACTCGTTGAAGCACGACTTGAATTTTGAACGAAAAAGTGTAGGTAATCACCTTGTTGCGTCGCCATGCACGTGAGGAAACCCCGGCCTGGAGGATTACCATCATAAAATTCTCACCAAACTCACATCGGCCCGCAATAAACCTCCTCGAGCGAATCCATCCAGGAAACAAAAACCTCGCGAACCTCTCTTCTCCATAACCGATGCTCTTTTCCGTCAGCGGAACATTCATTCTCCGACCAGCGCTTGGAGTCTCGCTCTCGCAGTGACACCCAACCCAGCCAAACACAGTATCATACCATATTTCTCATAAACAGTTGTAAATTCAGTCAAGACAATAAAATTCTCTAAATTCTCTCATCTTAATTGGAATCGCCAAAAGAGATCAATTTCTCAATTGGGCAGCAAACCTGTACCGTCACCTAGAGTGCAAGCGGGATTTACGACCTCGCGAAATTCTTCGAGAGAATTGCGGTCCACGGGAAGCTACACACCTTTACTTTTCAGCCACTGTACTCACTTGAATTTTCTGCTGCGGTGATTGAAGAGTTCGTTAAAAGTACGCACTTGTCGAACGATTCTAGAGACAAAAGAAAATTCGCCGCATTAAAGAATTACTCATTAGCTGAATGCTTACAAGCGTTTCAATTACATTATTACAACGATTTACTTTAGAGTACGGAGTTAATCACACTGACCTCTGAAATGCGTTATTCGTCATTCAACGGCCACAAGAATTATTGTATCAAGGAAATTTATTTCAAATTTGGAAAGATAAGCGTTAAAATTCAAAAAGTACAGTTAACCCTAGTTAACCCATAATTTTTGCTTCCAACGCGACATACGAATCTAGACAATAAACGTTTAAAATAATGTTAAGGAACGTTAACTTGATAACAGCAAAAATGACTAAAAGTATAAAAAGGCGGTGGGTCAAAAAAGACCCGAAGACCGCTCTAGGGTTAACCACTTTGACCTTTCTCACCGGAATATTTTCGTATAAAAAAAAAGAATATTTGCTCTCACATTTAAATTCACTTCAGGTAAAAAAATATGTCGCCATTCCGCTCCATCTTCAACCTGACGAATTTCCCTTCAACGTAGCCTCGAAAGGAACGATCGGCTTTCCGATCGATCAGGCGAATTCGCGAAAGTTGACAAGTGAGATTCTCGTGTTGAAACACGAAAAATCCGCGACAAATGTCCCGCCATTGGACAAATATAATTGGCAAGAGGATCGACGTGGTCCTGCTCGATACGTCGTCGCTTCCGTTTCACGCTCTTAGGCCAGTTTTACCTCCGAGGGGCCAGAGAGAAAGAGAGAGAGATGAAAGGTCGGTTAATCGAATCTCTGGTCCCCGCGATTCGTATCGGGAGTTTCGGCCAATTTGACGTATAGCTGTCCGTTCGACGAACGATCCGAGGATTGATAGGATATAGCATCGAAATTCGTGCAGATTTTCACCGAAGAATCGCAGGAGCTTGATAAAGCGATTGACAGGAGGGCTACGTGTACTCATACTATTGACAGAGAGCTTGAAAACACTGATCACTCTTAAAGGACGAATAAAAAGGAAATTTGCTGTACGCAGTTGAAGCAACGATGCACGATAAAATTGTAGTCGGGACCACGAGGTCCTAAAATCGGTCAAAGTAAACATGCTTTAGCTGCCGGGACCGAAAAATTGCAGATAAGTACTTGAAACCATAGTCAGGACAGTACGAAGAATTCTCGTATCCAGCGAAAGTCGAACTGATTCTAATACATTTACCGAAAGCTGCGCGTAGCTAGGACAAATTAGGGTTTATAAGGGTAAATAAAAGTAATCGTTCTTTTGCACCTATCTTTTAGAAAAACCGTACAAATTTGGAAAAGTATTTTTTTCGCAAAGGAATCCTCTTTTCTTCGTTTTCGATTTACTGCTCCGAGCTTCTTATCGATATTTCCACAGATCTGTTTTGGATGTTGGGCATGTTTCTTTGGGCAAGAGCTCGGTCCAATTATAATTTCTAATTTCAATGTCAATCTTACATCGTACTTGTGTAATATTAAGATACTATTTCAGTGTACCATATAAATGCAATAATTCTAATAAAACTGCTGCATATGTTTCTATAAAAAAAGCTTTTGTCCGAATAACGAACCGTGCTGGGAACTTTCGAGCGACAGTTTGGATCAGGCGCGAGAAATATTCGCAAGTAGGCGAATAAGACGCGTCAGATGAATACGTGAAATATCAATTTATTCCGCAAGGATGGAGGAAACACGAAGGACGATAAGTCAGGAACAATAACGAGTTACAAGCTTGCACTGTTTTCATTTATTTTGCGAGGATCGTGTAAACACGAAGAACAGCGTTTCTTACATTCTCAGTTCCAGATTTCGTATAGATACAGATATGTAGATACAGCGCAGATTCTTTCTCGTGGTTTTGTTAGGGAAAAAAAAAAAAAGAAATAGGAACAAGGATAAGTGCTTAGGCTGAGTTTACCGGAGTGCAGACACGGTCTTGTCGTCCACGTAGACCGCGTATCCTTCCGCAGGAACGTGCACCTTCGTGATATCGGTCACGTTCAAGCTGCATTCGAAACAAACGAAGAAATTTGCATAATTAATTGAGAACGTAAGATTATTCCTTGCTTTCTTTAACTTAAGGCGCGTAATCGAGGAGATGAAGCTGTATGTTGAAACTATGGTTACTAACAATTCGTTCGATTTAATTGTTAAATTTAACACTTTGAGCGGTTCTAACCGGGAATACTTGAAATTTACTTTGTAAGAGGTTGCAATTGGATGTAACGGTGTAAAGTTGAGGAAATGTATGCGCTCGTAGTTCGTTGAAACGGTTAAAAATTGGACAAGAGAAAGTAACAAATTTATTTAATCTATTTGTATTAAAAAATTTAACAAAATCTTTTAAATTTCATCAGGTTTCCACTTTTTTACCACATTTTAGTGAGCACTCAAAGGGTTAAACAACCGATCTCCCATATTGCTCTGTCTTATTCCGATCTCTTAACCCTTTGAACTCCGAGCATTCTTTTGAAATTTTTCAAATCCAAAAGTTTCGTTTCGAAAAGGAAAAACAATTTCACATTTTATCTCTACGTAGAAACAGATTCCCAATTTAGGGTTACGCTGGAAATTAAGCATGTCGCCGTAGCGGCGCCAGTAGAATTCAAAGGGTTAACTTTGTATCGATGATTTAACCATGATAATAGTAAAACGTTCAACTGTCCTAATGTAAGAACAGATTCACACAGAGTCATCTCTCGAATAATTTGTCGAAAAGCGTCGAAACGGTTCGTTCTGATACATCTGTAGTATCGGGGCCATATCCAGAAAATAGGAAACCGGCACGGGAGAATAGAGAGGGAGTGGTTGACGTAGCGCGCAAAGCCTCGG